TATATATAGTATATATATATATATATATATATATATATATATATATATATATATATATATATATATATATATATATATATATATATATATATATATATATATATATATATATATATATATATATATATATATATATATATATATATATATATATATATATATATATATATATATATATATATATATATATATATATATATATATATATATATATATATATATATATATATATATATATATATATATATATATATATATATATATATATATATATATATATATATATATATATATATATATATATATATATATATATATATATATATATATATATATATATATATATATATATATATATATATATATATATATATATATATATATATATATATATATATATATATATATATATATATATATATATATATATATATATATATATATATATATATATATATATATATATATATATATATATATATATATATATATATATATATATATATATATATATATATATATACACATAGTAAACACAACAAATAATAGTATAGTATTATAATTAAATAAATATAATAATAAATCAGAATAATAAATCAGCTCTCTCTTTCTCATTACCATTAGGTGCATAAATATAAATATGTGTGTGTGTATCTGTGCAGTGTGTATATAAAGTATGTATGTGTATGCAGTGTGTATATGCAATATGGTCATATGTGCGTTTATGTATATTTATATGTAATGATTTTTTTTAATTAACATTATTAAGAAAACTTACATTAATGTTTTAAATAATAAGGGGTATTGGTATTGTATAAATTTTGACAAAAAGTATCGGTATTGTATCAATTTAAAAAATTACAATATCACCCATCCCTAGTTAATGGTCAAGCTTACATTACACAGTGCAAACACTCTTCACAGAAGTGACGTCTGAAAGCTCATTTTCAATTCAAATAGAGAAAACAGAAATAGTCAAGCAGGTTAGTATTAAGTGAAGCTGTATGTGTTGTTTAATAATCCTCTGCTAAGATTTTGAGAGACTGAATGTGTTTTATTTCAGTTGAGTTCATCTACTGCTGTGAATGAAGTTTAAAAAAAAAGATTTTGCATACACTGTCATTCTGCACTCTCAGGAGACATCAATTTAATGTGCCTAATATCTCTAAAAAGACACCACTTGGACACAACTTTGCTTTGGGCAGTTCGCCTTCTTCTACCTATCAAATTCCTAACAGTGAAATTGAGAGGAATAAAGTACAAATATAATTTATTATTTTATACCTTTCTTTAATAAGAAGGTCGGGAGTCCAAAACATTTCTTTTTTTGCATGAAAGAATTTGATTTCACATCGTTCGTAGAACATCCACAATGGGAGGCCGTTGAACCAAGCCTGCAAATGCATGGATATTAATTTTAGAATAATATTTTCATTGTATTGATTATTAGCTGGAGTACCCAACCAGACTCACTAGAGGGCACTCCAGCTATATGTACACTCTACCAGCCATTAACCCGAACTACACACCCCATCATGCTTTCAGACTTTGATTACCTGCTACAGCTGATATCAATCTGGATATTGAACATACGCAGACAGCTGCACACCATTACACTGATCGCACACACTATATAAACACCACTCACATGCATAGTTGTGTGCAGTTGTGTGCCAGTAAAGTACCTGTATCCTCTTCCTCCGCATCCAGGATATTGTAATGTGTGCAGAATGTGGTTTTGCATTGTTTTGTTGAAATATGCATGGGCGCCACTGGAAAAGAAGGCAGCATATTGTGCTCCAAAATCTCTATGTACTTTCAACATTAATGATGCCATCATAGAAGTGCAAGTTAGAAGGGCACAGAAGGGCACTGACACAGCTTGTTAGCTGGTAACAGTCTGGATGACCCTTTTCTTCTTTGGTTCAGAGCCCATGGTGTCCATTTCTCCCAAATCACAAACAGCGGTGACACAGCAGGTGGAACTCATGATCATTAGGAAACAGAACAAAGGGGTCACAAGACAAATGCAGAAAGCACGACACATGGTGAAATCAGGAACCATCGGACCCAGGATGCAGCCAGGAAGACGGCCCAGGGTGAAGTCGATGAAGGGTTGAACCATGAAGGAGGAGAGGCCAAAGACTCAGAGGGGCCAATTAAGGGAGATGCCGCAGATGGAGCCCAAGGTGGAGACGGAGAGCCGCATGACGAGGGTGATCCCAAGGTCCTGAAGGGCCAAGGTGGAGCAGATGGCTCACCTGACTGATGCGGCGATGCTGGACCGGAAGCCTGTGACTTCCCCACGGCCCAGAGTGGAGTCGATGGAGGGAGGAACTGTGGAGGAGGAGTGGCCACTGACTTCAAGGGGGCAACCGAGGGCGATGACACAGATAGAAGGTAAGCCCAAGAGCTGTAAGGCAAGGGTGATGCTGAGAACTCAGAGGGCCAAGGTGGAGTGGATGGCTCACCCGACTGATGCGACGACACTGGTCCATGGTGCAGATGAAGGTGAAGTCCAAGAGCCGGAGGGACAAGGTGGAGTCGACGGCTCACCCGACCGATGCAACGACGCTGGTCCGAAAGCTTATGGCGGAGACAGAATGACAGAGGTGTAGCTGGAGGGAAGGAGGAGCTCAACGTAGCAGGCAGGATGGAAGGATAAGGCGCAGCAAGAGGAGTGGAGTCCATAAGCACAGGCAGGGTGTCAACTGACCAAGGCAGAGCCAGAGGGATGAGGGAGCCTGGCGAAGCTGGTGGGCTGACGGTTCATGGAGGAGATGAGGGAGGAGCAGGAGGAGAAGGAAATCAGGGTGGTAAATGGGGTCCAGGGGAAAAGAAATACTACGGCAAAAAGATAATACGTTTTTAAGAAAGGGTGGGGAGGCAGCTCAAATGCCGCAAACTTTTTGTAGGTCCAGTATTCCACCATGTCCGGTCACTCTACAGATGCACAGATCGCAGGACTTTTTCAAAAACACATATTTATTAACAGAAAACACTCACTACATGCACTGGAACTTCCACACTCAGGAGCAACAGGGAGATTGTGGCAAAACAATACGCGACAGCAAACTAAATCAAGCAGAGGTCTAAATACACAGGACATACTTACACAAATCACAAACAGGGGTAACACAGCAGGTGGAACTCATGATCATGAGGAAACAGCGGGAAACAGAACAAAGGGTTCAATGGCAAACACAGAAAGCACAGCACATGGGGAAATCAGGAATCATCCGACCCAGGATGCAGCCAGGAAGATGGGCCAGGATGAAGTCGATGAAGGGTTGAACCATGAAGAAGGAGAGGCCAAAGACTCAGAGGGGCCAATTAAGGGAGACGCCGCAGATGGAGCCCAAGGTGGAGACGGAGAGCCGTACGACGGGGGTGATGCCAAGGTCCTGAAGGGCCAAGGTGGAGCAGATGGCTCACCTGACTGATGCGACGATGCTGGTCCGGAAGCCTGCGGCCGAGCCAGATCAACAGAGGACCAATGTATAGCTAAAGGTAAGGAGGAGCTCAATGTAGCTGACAGGATGGAAGGATGAGGCACAGCCAGAGAAGTGGAGTGCAGAGGCACAGGCAAGGCGATGGCTGAGCAAGGCAGACGAGGGAGTCTGATGGAGCTGGTGGGCTGACGGTCCATAGAGATGAGGGAGGAGAAAGTATTCAGGGTGGTAGATGAGGAAAAGAAACATTATTGGGGCAAAAAGACTATAAACAAAACATTACAAACGCCTTAGGTCCGGTATTCTGTCACAGCTGCTCACTCTACAAATGCACAGATCAGGACTTATAAAGAAACATGGATTTATTAACACAGCGCAAACTGCATGCACTAGAACTTCCACACTCAGGAGCAACAGGGAGATGGTGACAAAACAAAACCCGACAGCAAACTAAATTAAAGCAGGGGTCTAAATACACAGGACATGCTTACACAAATCACAAACAGGGGTGACACAGCAGGTGCAACTCATGATCATTAGGAAACAGTGGGAAAAATAACAAAGGGGTAACATGACAAACACAGACAGCACATGGAGCACGGCACATGGGGAAATCACATGACACAAACACACCAGACATGACAACTGTATTTTTTTATCAAATTATTCTGCCAACCAGGGCTGCCAATTTTAGTTTTTTACAGTGTATAAAACAATTATTTTTGCGGACCATGTGGACATTTGCATTGTGAAGTCGAATGTACTGTAAATGCTAATCTGGTCATATTTAACAAACTCTTTGTGTGGTTGGAAGGATAAAATATGTGTTTTAAAATACTTACAGTCATCATTTTGACCTGTGTTGAGAGGCTTTGGGTCTTTTCATTCTGCAGATAAATAAAGTGTGAAATTATGAGTAATTAAGTGTCAAATGATAATACTTTTTTGATGCATCATTAATAGGTATGACAAGATATGTCAAGCTGGATACATACCACAGCCACAATAGAGGTTACATAGATGTCCACAAAAACAAGTGAACGACCGCCATAAATAAAGGGCCGCTTGTAGGTTTCCATGTTGTTAAATAATTTTAGGACAAACTCAAATATTTCCGTGTAAGATTCTTGATAAACTGCCGGGTCACAGGCTGGTTTATTTTCTGACACGTTGAGAGTTTCTGTCACATAGGAGAATATTTCTTAAGCAACCAGTCAGCAAGAATTTGGAAATGTTTTCTATAACACCTGTGTTCTACATGTCCAACTCTTAAATGCATATAGAGTGAATATACAGTTAAAGTCAGAATTATTAGCCCCCTTGAGTTATTCGCCCCCCTGTTTATTTTGTCCCCCCCGTTTGACGAAGAGAAGATTTTTTTTCAACACATTTCTAAACATAATAGTTTTAATAATTCATTTCTGATAACTCATTTATTTTCTCTTTGCCATGATGACAGTAAATAATATTTGATTAGATATTTTTAAAACCCTTATATACAGCTTAAAGTGACATTAAAGGCTTAACTAGATTAATTAGGTTAACTATGTAAGATAGGGTAATTGAGCAAGTTATTGTATAACGATAGATTGTTTTGTAGACTGTGGTAAAAAAAATATAGCTAAAAGGGGCTAATAATTTTGACCTTAAAATAATTGTTAAAAAATTTAAAACTGCTTTTATTCTAGCTGAAATAAAACAAATAAGACTTTCTCCAGAAGAAGAAATATTATCAGACATACTGTGAAAATGTCCTTGCTCTGTTAAACATCATTTGTAAAATATTTTAAAAAGTAAGTAGCCTATTATTACAAGCAGTCTTAAAATGAGCAACCTAAAGTGCATAAAACTGGCTACTAATAAATTTATGAAAAGTTTCTGCTATCAGGTCACTAACACTTAATAAAGTATCCCCAACCTTACAGGACATGTTAGTTTGTAATGCTCAATGCATAAACCACATTTTATTAAATAATATTAAAAAGGACTTACCAGCTGAGGCAAGAAATAATATAAGCCAATGCAGGTACATGGTGAACAGTTCTGAGTGTTCCACTAGGTCAAACTATTGATTGTAATGATTTTCTCTTCAACATGGACTGATCAAAAGGTAATATTTATATGCTATGAGTTATAAAAAGGCCCACCACCCCCCAGTGTATGCTTATTTACCTGAATTGTAGCCCAGAGTTTAAACCAATTAGAATGACAAAGAAAGTTGAGGACGTCTACAATATTATAATGACTCCAGTTTTGTGTAAATAGGGAATAAAAAGAATATAACACAAATATAATGGTTAATAGCTAGAGGGCAATGTGGCTTTGTCTACATCTTATTATATGACTGCACTGTAAAAAAAATGCTGGGTTCCACACAATTGAATTGTGTTGGTTAGGCTCAACCCTGTTCCTGGAGATTGACCTTACTCCAAAGTTCAGCTCCAACCCTGATCAAACACACCTGAACCAATTAATTAGGTCCTAAACAGCACTTGATAATTACAGGCAGGTGTGTTTGATATGGGTTGCAACTGAAATCTGCAGGAAGGTCGATCGCCAGGAACAGGGTTGGTCATGTCTCTGTTAGGACAACATGAAGGAATTAGGTAATTTTTAGTTTTTACAAAAGTAAGTGTTTTGAATATAAAACAATTAAGTTGTTGCCAAAAAAAACTCAAGAACTGTGTTGTTTCAGCTCATTTTAATAAAGTAGTTTGAAGAAACTGCGAAAACAATTTTTTGAGTGTGATATTTGATATTCTTTCTGTTTGTTTTTGTGATTATTTCTGTGTATTTTCGCCTTCAGCTTGTGTACAGAAGGGGAAGTTTTTGCAGTGTTCGATTATAATAATCCCAACATTTCGGAATAGGAAAAAATTTGCATTTAGATGTGTATATGGTAATTTTTTTTTCTTTTTTCCCTACAAAATATAGCTTATCATAACACGCAGTTACAGCAGGCAATGAACAACTAACATGAGAAATGAGGAGTCAGAAGTAAAGCAAACACTTCTGTCTCATTAACACGTCTCTGTTTTTTTGAATGGGTTTTTATCGGTCAAAAAACATTATCTGAAACATAATCTGAAGGAAAAATTCAACATCAAGTTTCAACTATCCTAATGTCAATTCAATGCTTTTTCAACACTGCTCTGCACTCTAAACCCAACTAGTTGATTTTAGTAGAAAACCACTTAAACAACGCAGGTTTTTACACAAGGAAAATCTAAACAGCCCTAGATGCACTAAGCAAACATGTCCAAACTAAGTCTTTTAGATGTCTTTAAGGATGTTGTAATGATGTTTCCTGAGGGTGCAGAATGGTGTCATTTAGTTAAGCTCCAAATACATACAGTTGTCACTGTAAATAATCACATTTTATTGGAACAAATTCAGTATGGGACAAACTTTAACACTGATTTGAGTGACAGAAGCAAATATTGAGAAATAATTGTGTTAGTTAAAGGATTAGTCTCCCCAACTCATCTGAAGAATAATAGCTGGCACCTATTGAATTCCAATACATTCTGTTCCCTTTCTATGGAAATCAATGGATGCCAGCCATGCAGCATTCTTCAAAAATGTCATATTTTGTCTTGAAAAAACAAAAAACTTAAAGGGTTGAAACCACACAAGGGAGAAAAACTGATGAGGTAATTGTGAAGTCTGGCTGCTTGGGGTCTCTGCACTACACTCTACAGATAATAGAATAATATTTATTTAGTATTTTGCTCAGGTTTAAAAAAAACATTAAACAGACATCAATAATCTGGTGACATTTCAACAAATTCTCTGCAAGAGAATGGTGACATTTCTTGCTGCACTGCATGTGATGTATTTACCTGTATTGCAGTTTTGTATATACCAGTATTGCAGGTCACTGGAGATCACAAGTAACTTTTTGAAACTACTAAAAATCATAATATATATATATATATATATATATATATATATATATATATATATATATATATATATATATATATATATATATATATATATATATATATATATATATATATATATATATATATATATATATATATATAT